ACGCGTGCACTTCACCATATTGTGCATAATGGTGAACACACGGATGCCAAATTGAATGCAGAGTGACATCTTCTGGTGCACAGAGCGCATAGGCTGGAAAATGACCCGAGTCATTCAAAGGAATATTGATCTGAAGGAGACAGAAAATCATCCAGACCGACCGCGGCTTGTCATTCTGTTTCACGGTCGCGACTGAGGGAAGTGGACAGTGCAATCGCTTTTTATCATTATTAACAGAATTGGAGGAAATACGTGGGAAACAACCAATGTTGGAACAACGAATGTAGCTTGGATGCTTTGTGCATGAAAAGCTAACGAAATTAGCCAAAAAAATGTAGATGCATTAATACGCGTTAGGATGACGTTCGACGAGCATCAAAACGGAATATCAGTGCTCGAAACAATGAGTTCAAGACGACGGTAACAGTGGACCCAGAATTGCAACTGGCGAGTGCTAGTTGTCAAAAAAGTTGATGAACATCCACACTGTAGCCCGAAACAAATGACGCGAGGGTGCGATGTGAGTCGTTCACGTTTTGAAGGAAAACGATTTTGGCCAGTTTGCTCCGGTTCATGTACAGGAATTGAAGTGCATCCATTTCATCATAACAGAATCCTTGTGAAATGCAGGTTTATCTAGAGCTTCAAATGTTCCCATAAATTAAAAACCAGCAGGAAGTTATCCGGTGAACGATGTGGTCGTGACCAACCGATATCCCTAGGACTACTCCAGTTAGGTAATCTCGTACTATTAATGCATGATGTAGTGCAGCATCGTCCGATGGGAACCAAATTCCCTCTTTGAGAATTCAACATCTGAATCAATTTTTTTTTTGTGGAATTGGTCCGAGACAGTCCGACGCGATTTCCTGAAAATACACCACTTCTTTGACATGCTTCTGAATGAATAACGGATTAATTGATTACGTGCTTTGTATTCGGTTCAACATCATTCGTTTTTGATCACACTCTCTGTGTTGGAAGTGAGGTTGTTGAGGGTTGATGGCAGCCCACGAATGCTTGAGCAACGTCTACCATATCGTGCACTAGTTGTATACATCGGTTCGCGCTGGAAGAACCAGCGAGCTGAGTAGGCTATGACGTGGCGTAGAGGGTTAAAGGGATTGTACTCAGATCTGGCTTCCCGGCTGGGGCCCCAAAGATTCAGATTGTCTTTGGTTAGAGACACTGCGGGATCTGGCATCCTTTTTTGTGTGTAGTCCCAAAGGTAACCAAAAAATTCAAACTGGAGTGCAGTAAACAAACAACAAATTTGTTATTCCCAAAGTTGAATGCTTGCTTTATTTCGCCCGTTTTAAAACATTTTGCGTCAAACCCATGGTTATTTTGGCGCCGTATCTGTAAACCCGTATTACCGAAAAGTTTCACAATGTTCCCCTTTCATTTAGAAACCACGATAGTCTTGTGATGAGATCGGCGCACTTTAATGTCTGGATCTTAACCGGAGCGAACTGGTCAAAGTCATTTTCCTGCAAAACGCGAACGACTGACCTGCGACACACCGCATCCTCGGGTCATTTGTTCTGTGCTACAATCTAAATGTTTATCAACTTTTTTGACTACTAGTATTCGCCAGTTGCAAATCTGAGTGTAGTACTGTCATGCTCGTCATCGTACACACTTTCCATCATCTCTCTGACTTATTGTTCAAATCAGTGACGGACGGTTGTGATGCTCGCTGAACACCATCCTAATTTGCCCACCACCATTTTCCAACAAATTTCGTTAGCTTTCCAAGNNNATACGAGCTCCACCGGTTGAGAGTACCGGGGCCAGAAAACACCGTTTCACAAAAATGGATCGGTAGAGGAAGACCTGTGCCATAGCTGTTCATAGTGTTACACCGACTAAAGGCTGTTGTTTACAATCCACAAGCAAGCTGAGAAAAATATCACAACTGCATCGCTAAAAATCTACCTTCGAGAAACCAGGAAGGTTCAAATGATTATAAGACAACCAATTGGTAGATGCAATGAAAGCGAAGGACGGTGCTTTCAGCACTAGCTCAACTCAACGCTATGCGCGAATCAAGCAAATTTGACTCAGGATAATTCTATTGGGTAACCTGCCGATGTGTATGAAGTTCCCACAGTGTTGGTTGCACACTGAAGAGAACCCTGAGATGTTTTTAATCGGAGTGCATAGAAAGATCGCTAGTGAAAGTCAACATAGAGATCACTTAGGTGGTGAGACCTTGAAAGATTGTGTGA